CAAAAAGATGAGCTGAATTGTGAGCAATCAACCCTGACCATGTTTTTTTAAATCTTCCTTGAAGTTAACATGCAAATTAAAGTCCTGATATTGGTGCCTGCACATTGTTGCTTATTGTGTAATATTAGCTACTGTTCTCATGTGATGTGTAGCATATTTGACAAGGGATGGGGTTGATGGAGTCATTACAGAGAGCTTGCTTTCTCCTTTCAACCAACAGAGATGTTTCTTACACAAAGGATATTTTAAACACTTATACTCTGTACCTTGAATAATTTAAATTAAATAAACATTGTCAGAAAAGTATTGGATATGCAATGACATCAAGGCCCACAAATTATCACACCAAAATATACTAAATAAATATCTACTAGAATTAAGTCACATAGGTGAAGAATAAACTACAATATAAATATTATAAGAGTAACACATTGAAAACTGATACGATTTTGGAAATCAATGTCAACATATTCTCTCCAGTGAATATACTGCTTGAGTTTTTATATTCTCCTCCTGAGCTTAGCTTTTTCTTTCATTAGAGTACAACTCTAAGTCAATTATCCTGCAGCACAAAGAAAAGCCTCCAATATTTTACCATCATTGTTGGTAATATGCCCCTTAGGGTGTTGGTAGTTATACATAATTGCACATTGTCTTTCCCTCTAACATTTTCTACTTTCTTTTCCTGTTAGAACAACATAAGAAATATTGCATCAATGGGTTTCAGCAAATTATTCCAGCTAGTTTGATTTCCATTCTATTCACAAATGGCATTACAGAGAGGGAAAATATGCTTGCCTTTTTTCCCCTTTAGCTATCTTTAGGCCTGAAAGACTGTAGTTTGTTCATTTGTGTTTGTGTCTTTTAAATGTAAGCTAAGAATAAAGGAATAGGATTTTCCAAATTGATATGTTACTAATAATAAGTGAATCTGGTACATTCATAGTTTCCTGGGTGCAGGAACTTATTTTACAATTGTCATAAGAAACACCTGTAGTTTGTAAAAGAAACATCCCATAAACACTCAGTACAGATGTAAGAGGCCTTATTCTACAGAACTTGGAGGGGAAAGCTCCCACTAAAACTGCCTGAATTTTTTCCTGCAAACAGTATGGGTCCTGAAAATACTAAAATTCTGCCTTTAAATATCGCTTGTTATAATGAATATTATGTCCAGATGTGACCATTTTCTCTCATGGCCAAGCTGTACTGAACATGAGGGGTCAAAAACTCTCCAATCCAGAAGCTGAAAAATGGCACTAAATTTGCCTCTCTCCATGATTAGAAGTTGTCTGAAGTTACCTCCTGGGGGCAGGATTATCTGAGAGCAAACCATTTCTCTCTAGACATATTACATGTCACTGGGGGATCCCCACTATAGGGAAGGAATCCATGGGAGACCCATTAAAGCAGCTTCTGCCCATCCCATGTCACCATAGGCTACAAACTCAGATCTGCTATACCCCTTTTCCATCTCTTGAGTTGCATTTGTGCTAACTTCACTTCCCAGACAAAGCAAACAGGGGGACCCTTTAGTAGGACATTAAGTAGTGTGACAAGGCAGTTTAATTACGTTCCTTGGTAACTCACAATTTAACTGAAACACTTATCAGTCTTTTAAAATGAGAACACATGGAAAAAATTAGCTTCTGTAAGAAAAAAAAAAGAGTACATATAAATAGTATCCTCAGATCCAGTAGAACAACTCTCTGACTGTATTCACAGTCATGTGGGGTAACACTAGGGACTAGATTTATTCTTCTTAGCAGAGTAAAAATCAATACAGCTTCAGGGAATGTGCTGGATTTCGTTCTGACTTACGCATTATGTCATACAAAGCTGTTCTGATAATATCTTACAGTGAAAACTGTGTGGGCCGGGAGCGGTCCGAGGCCCTCGGGGACCTGCGCGCGGCAGGCTGTGGCCAGCAGCCCGGACACGCCGGGTCGGGGAATGCAGGCCGGCGGGCTAGAATTAGGCACGGACGCTTAGCGGTTGATTAAAGATTATTTTACTTACACCGAAGATGGTCACGGTGCAGGCAGGAAAACTTGCTTGAGTTGCAGTTACAAAACAAAACAAAACAAAACTCAAACCTTCAGGGCACGAGAGTACGTCGCAATGGGTTTTCGGCGACGGGAAGGTAAACCTGCAGGACTCGAACCCGGGTAGAGCTCTGGATACACTCACACGAAGTTTGCTAGGCTCCGTGGAACTTGCACGCAGGGAAGGGGTTCGTCGAGGGATCATTCGGCGACGGGGAGAGGCCAGAGGTTGATCAGACCCCTATAGCCTGCGCTGGGTTCGATAGGCTCCGCAGCGCTTAGAGATCTTCACAAGACGTGAAGATCTCCTCCTCCAGATGGTTGTGGAGTCCTCCCTTGTGGGGGTTCTCCTCAGAGTTCTTCAACTTGGGCGGAAACCACTCAAGCTTTTTAAGAAGAAATGCACACTGCAAAGAAAGCTACAAATTGGCGGGAATTCTTTTACACCGGGGGTTTCCTCTGCAGCAGAAAACTCCACCGTGCAAAGAAGCTGTAATTTAGCGGGAACATAATTCAGTGGTGCCAAAGCGCACACAAAACAAAAATCACACCTTTGGGTTGTGACAAAAACAAGCAAACAAAGTATTTGGTTATATTTTACATTATGCACCTAACTAAATCAGCAACATTATTAAGAGAGACCAATTCTTGTCTCAGCCAGAATTGGGGAGTAGAAAATGTGCTGGTTGTAGGCTGTGGAATTTATTATAAATTAGTTTATATTAGTGGAATTTATTATAAATTACCCAATAGTTCCATTGGGTAAACTGAGGCATTTACATTTCAGATCTGATGGAAACTAAAGGTTTAATCCCACAGATTTCAAGGTAAGGAAGCCATCTTCAAATGCAATGGGCTCCCATGTAGGACTCGTTTCTAGACCCATAGGTATCCCACTAGGTTCTCTTGCTGGTGCCAAGTTGCCAGGGTCACTGTTAGCCAGGGCTTTTCCTGGAAGAAGAGTAATTGTGGAAGAGTACTTCTCTCACATAGTTGTAGGGAAGGAGAGAATTGAGTCACCATTATTCCAGAGGAAGGTCTATGGAAAAGGAGGATAAGAGCAAGTTTCTATGTGGAGAAATCAAAATTCATGGGATTGACCCCTGGTTTCTCAACAGATCCTGGGTTTCTGTGCATTCTGTGGAAATATTCCTGCACCTTTCTGTACGTCTGATAGATCTCCTTCCATAGAGGAGATTATTCCAGACATTTACATCTCCAAACCCAAAAATATTCCCTGGCTTCTTTTTACTTGTTCCCGCCCCCCCCCTCCCCCCCCTCCAAAAGGTTGAATGGGTTGCTGCTAAAATCACAGCAGATCAGACCAGATTCTCACCTGAATTCAATGGAGCAATACTGGTGTACACAGGCGAGGATCTCACCCATTTCGTTCGATGTTTAACCGTCCTTCAATATCACAACACCAGGGAGTACTCTACTTCCAAAGGATCATTTTTATAGGTAGCTCTAAATGTTTTCAAGAATCACAGAGACATTTATAGATTGATTACCTGGCTAGGTCTATCATTCTTCTGATGACCATGCATCCCCATTTTTGTGATGCTTTTAATTAATATAACTAGAACATATAGTTATTTGTTAAATTGTATTCACCTTGGCTAGTAAAGTAGGGACTTGGAACAGATAGAGAAACTCCCAGCTTAGTATTTATGTAAAACCTGTGTTGTCCAGATTAGAACTCACTTTTGTCCACCCCCCACTTATAACATCAGATGGGATGACTATTCGCCCACTAAATCTCCTATAACAGCATTAGCATCATGGATTGCTTTCTCTTTGCTGCCAAGGAGCTGTGTTTGCTTTGCCTGTCTCCTCCTCTTTATTACCTCTTATGAATTGCAAAAATATTAGAAATAGCCTAATTGTATTTAAAATCATTCAGGTAGCCATGAACTTTGGGTCTTGACTTTCTCCCCTCTACAGGATGCTTCATCTGACACTTACTTCTGTCCGTGCTCAAATGAGTAGAGACATTTCTAAAAAGTTAATACAATATCAGTAGCAAATTGTTGCAGTGATCCACCCAAGGGACTTAAAAATTGTCAGACAAACCTATACAGTATGTTGACGATATACAGTATGTTCCTAAGTGTATACAGTCTTGGATGTCAGTTCATACTTTTACAATGTCCCATTCTATATGCATGTATTGAAGCTAATCGTATAAATGTCAGCAGAATGCACTTAATAAAAATATCATTTAATACAACGCCTCAAAGCCTCAATGTATCATAACATGTCTTTGCTTTCTTATAGGGTATGAAACAACAAAGGACAACTTCCTATCTTATTATTTCTCCAGCTTCCGAGTTGTCTCAATCACCCTGTAATTCATTAAATGAGGCAGAAAAAAATCAAATAGCTTTTATTGTTAATATAGCATTTTATTTTCAATCGTATTTGTTCAAGTGAAAAGGAGACGCCTTTCATATTTTGGTGAAAGAACATTCACTGTAAGAGGAACTAAGGTGAAGCCCCCATTAACTGAACTGGTTGTTTGCACACAAAGAGGAGCACATTTAATTTTAAATCAAGGCCTCTAAATAGGAGATAGTATATCATTTTTGGTGGTGGGGAGCATAACAGGCGGCCTAGAAGGGAAGTCTATGCAATAAACCTCTAAAGAGGTTTAATCCAGGCAGCACATATGGGCATTTCTAACATGACCTTGTGGAGTGTGTTACTTTTCACAGCAAGTTTTCCCCAGTTATGCTCTGTTTTTTCCCTGAACATCACCAATAAAAGGATCATTAAGGTTGAGAGCAGGGTTTGCCAAGTCTCCGTACATTTATGGACACTGTAAATAACCAAGCTAAAATTGCCTGTCCCTACATTTTGTAAAAAAATTGTGCCACCTGTAAAAACATGAAACAAAAACAGCTTTGCAATATCATCTCTATAAAAACATGGAGCTCATTAAAGCTTTGTGGCTGGAAAACAAACCGAATGCATTCTTGAAACACCGACAGAATACAGCAGTGCCACCTGATGTCTGAGTGGGAGCGTAGTACGCCAAAGGGCACACTTCTCAGGGTTTTGTGGCTTTCTCCAACCCCCAGGCATGTGCTGGTCCTGATGCTGGTGTTGCCTTCCATCTGCCATTGCTGGGTGACAAGTAAGCAGACATCAGTCCTTTTGGGGTCTGTTCTAGGACAGGGGAAGCTGCTGATGGGGTGTGGGCTGGGCAGGGGGGCAGCAAGGCGCAGGGTGTGATCGGGGTGCCAGGGTGTAGGGATGAATAGGGGATCCATAGGTTGGGAGTAACATAGTGTAAAACCATTGCTTCAATCAGGTAGGATTGCCAACCCAAAAATGTTTTCTTATGCTGATTATTCGCAAACTTTTTATTGACAACCAACATTTTTTACTATGGTTTGAACGTGGCCCTTGTTCAAGTTCTGGCAGAAAGGTTACATGTACATTATGTAAAACATATGTGTAAAAAGTTTGCAGATTGTCAATAAAAAATAAAAAAGTTGTCTTGGGTTGGCAACCCTGGTTGAGAACTAATCTTTGGGATGGCCAAAAAAAATTCTATTGAAACTTTTTTTCTGACTGAAGTTGTGGTTTTGCTTAAATCAACATGTTAAGGTACATGCCCAATTCCTTGAACTTTTTCTATTTGTCATAAGGAAAACCAAACTCAGTCTCATTTTTAAATTGAAATTACAGTTTTTCTATGAACTCTGCTGCCCACATTTATAGGCAGCTCTACTAGTAATATTATTATGATAATGCAGTACCTATCAATAGAGACTACCCTCCAGAGCCCCCATGGACAGCAGCAGCTCCCAGTTTGCTAGGGGCTGCTAACATTGCCACTCCCTCTCTAGAGGCTGAGTCTGGATTAGGGGGGAAGGCAGGGGCTAGGATATTGAGCAGCAAGGACATCACATGGCTGCCTGTGCTGGAAAGAAGGTGAGCTAGGCCAGCCTTAGTGCTTTAAGAGGACTGCAGGCAGCCCTGGACCGGGCACCATTAAAGGATATCCTTTGGGGTTGCCCTTTATCAGGAAAGAGACAAAAGACAGGGGATGGGGGCGAGTTATTGTACTACTACTTATTATTGTTTAATTTGAATAATGTTGAGTGGGTAAGGAAGGATGAGTGGGTGTTGGAGACAGCCATATCCCTCCCCCACACTCCGCCCCCAAGAGGCTTGGGGTGAGACACCCATGGCCCTCTTGGAAGAATGGGAAGCACAGCCTTGGAAGCAATGGTAAGGAAGGAGCAGCAGGACTTCCCTGGCCAGGAAGCAGGGGAGCAGAGTGGGTGGGGTGAGGTGGATTGCTTTGAATTTGGTGGGGTTGGGAGAGGAAGTTTGTTTTGTTGTACCTTCTTATTTTACTATTTTATTGTTTCTATCATTCTTTGTTGTATTGTAAGTTGCCCTGAGCCTTTTTTGGGAAAGGACAGCATATTGACCAGTCAAATAAATTGTGGTTTGGTTCTTCCTTCAAAACAAGATCCTTCCACAACCTTTTCAGGGAGAGTGTTTAAAGATTATTGTTGTGTCAGACATAATATAGTGTGATCACATAGGAATAAAAACAATAGTTAAGGGAACACACTTATTTGCAAAACGTATGGAGCAGCTTAATGAGAGCATGTGATAAGCGAAACACTTTGATAAACTCCTGGAAAACAGGTGTTTGTTACGCAATAAAATGTTCAGCAGAAGTGGACTGTGGCACCAAGAGGATCAGGTATCAGGGGTCAAGGCCTCCATCAGATTTATCTGTGCAGAGATCTTGGCAGATCCATCCCAGGACAGAAGAAATTCTCAAGAGATTATCAGAGGGTACATTTTCCTCCATTATATATATATTTATATAATATTTAATACATTTTATAATTATATATATTTAATGGAGGAAAATGTTACTTGATCTAGATATAGATATATCTATATATCTAGATATAGATATATCTATATCGAGAGAGAGATATAGATATATAGATATCACTTGCTTCAGCTTTGGTGGATCTGCTTCTGTATCCCTTTATAAAGGTCTGATATTCAGAATGGTGCTGCTTTCTCTTATTCTGAAGAATATATGCAAATGAATATGTGAATCATCTAAATACTGTAAAACCACCACATCAGATAGGCTGAGATTGTATGTTACAGAACGTTATTAGTCAAACAGTTCTGTGGTATTTAGAATCCTCTGGCATTTCAGTGACCTTTTTACAAGCCATATTGCACTGAACTACTAATTTATTTCATGATCATCCTATTGTATCCAAGAAAAAAATGTTAAACAAAAAACAGGTGTCCCAATCCAAGTCTCATATTGCATTTCAAAACCCAGTGAGTAGATGCTAATTCCAACAATTTGCATGAGAGACTTTTGCTATCACTTCTATCATAGTATCGATGTCAGCTCAATTTTCAGAGCAGCTGTAGCTCAAACATTGACCTGCTGCCTATTACAGTAGTGTAATGAAGTGCAATGGGCTAGTAATTATTCTACATTACCCTAGATCAAGTAACATGCAGCCCTCAGTTATCACAATGGAATCCCAGTTCTTGTTCAAAATGAGAAAACTGACCATGAAGTTGATTTAAGGGTGTCATCAAAAATTACTTTCTGAGCCTGAAAATGTACTACTTATTTCCCAGATAGCATCTGACATTGCTGTGTAAATGTCTCACAGTCATTGCATACTCGGATAAACTAGTTTCAAATAACTAAATGAAGAGTTGCATGCAAGAACCAGTAGTAAATTGAGATGGGATATGTTAAAAATATCTAGTAATAAAATTACTTTAGGGAATTGATTTAAATGTCTCTTTCCCAACACCATCCATGCAACACCCTATCAACTTCTTCAGGAAATAGCGCAGTTTCTTCTGTTACCAGGCATGAAAAAATGAGTATTACGAATTGATCTGCAAACATAACTAATCTCACTGTACTTGACTGTACAAATACTGGCCTCAGATTGTACTATTCAAAACTCCTTAAAATAATAATCCACACATTCAGCCAACTGTCTCTTAAGATTTCCTGTTGTCCCACACCCTCTTGATACAATTGAATCAGCTTCTTCCAGCATTTGAAGCAGCAAACTTTTAATCGGAATATGTTCTTTTTTCAGACTAAATATTCTCAAATAGCACGTAACCTAACAACTATGTCAGGAGAAATCCTGCCCCACAAGATTCAGGCCTAAGCAGCAGTTACTGGAACAACCCTTTGAATAGAAGTAAGCCAGTGGTAGTCCTGACTGATGGGGCATTTGCAGGCCTGGAGCCTGTATCCCTGCTTTTATTTTCCCAGTCTATAGTCAGACAAATATATTATCGTCGTTAGACCTGCCCCAGTGCGAATGGTGGGAGTTGTGGCAGTTACTGCTTCTGTGAGCAACCCATTAAAAAATGTATCCCCTTGTTGTTTTCAGTATCTGGTGTAAATTTTTTTGCTGTCTCACAGCACAGGTAACAGGATATTAAAATATACAGAACAACCACCCTGGAAAGTTTAACTGTCTAATCCAGTAATACTGTGTCAGGCTTAAATTTAAATGAAGTTACCAAAAGGTAACACAATCCCTGTGTAGCAATTTGAAAGGGTCTGGTTTTTTGGAGGAGTAAGGGAGAGAGGGAATATGGCTTAGAGTCCCATGTGTCTCACATGCACAATTCACACGTTGTAACTCACCTCAAGTGAAATGGAAGGAGATGCACAGCCTGTCTGAAGAGCAAGATGAACTTGTAAGCTTGATTGAATATCCTAGGGTCTAATTTTCCTCTGGAACAGGGGGAAGAAATGCCGTAAAGGAAGGAAGAGTGGAACTGAAACAGGAGAAAGATGAGAAGAATGAGCATAGGCTCGATTGCATGAGAAAAGTGAACTACCTCGTGCCCAGAAGAAATGGACAGAGCTTCACCTGCTCAACTGGTATGACAAATGGCAAGAGTTATCTCATGAAAAAATGGCTCAATGTGATGATGCGACTCCACGACAAAAAATACAGTGGCACTGATAAGCCAAGGAAAAAAAAACGTGGACATTAAGGAAGAAGAGACAAAAGCAATGGATAGGAGGAGCCTTGACACACAATACATTTACACAGGTGTAGTTTAAATAGGTTTTGTCCATTGGCCATTGCAGGGGAACTGGACCCAATGATCTTGCGAGGTCCCTTCCAGCCCCTAAGAATCTATGAATGAATTGCAGTACATTACACCATGATCCCAAGTGGACGCACAAGCAGCTGTCCCAGAGTACTGGTGGCAGTAGATGTTTTTACAGTGCCATGCCACTAGACAGGCAGGGGAGCTCTTTTGCAAACAGTATGGGGTAGACTTTGTCCAGTATGGGGTAGACAAATGACGTCTAAGTTATACTGGTCTATTTTTATTATAGATCTTTTTCTCAGGTAACTTTATGTTAGATTCAAGACACTTACTCTAGTGTTGGGGTTTATATTGTCTGTCTGTTCATTGGCTAGATGCAGGTGTTAAGGCTGATTTTACTGGTGTAAACATGGTATATATCTAACCCCTATAAGTATCAGTAGGAGTGGAGAGAAAGAAGGTGATGGGAGGTGGAGGTCCTTTATCTGTGTGTAAACAGTGCTTGCCACACAGCTAGCCAGAGGGAAGAGGCAGAGCTGGGATCAGAGGCTCTGATCAGGGGATCAGGGGGCTGGCTTGGCACTTGGGCAGAGCAAACGAGCTCTGCCGGTGCCTAGAGCGCAGCCCTGAGCAGCGCCACCAGAGATGGCAGTGATCACGCTCTAAGTTAATCCTCTATGGGATCTGGCACAGATGTTCAATAAAGTCATCTAACAGAAAGCGCTTTAGTTTAATACGCTTCCATCAACTTAGAGCGCAATCTGTCATTTTTAAAGTGCTCCAAGAGCCGCGAATGTCTGCTCAGTTACAGCTTTAAGGTACGTACAGAAGTGTTTCGTGCTCATTTTACAGCGGTATAAATTAGAGCACTTTTTATAACATTATAAAGTTACAGCACTTTTAAACACAACTGAAGTGCAGTGTTTGGTGGGGAGGGGGAGACTCTGAGCCTCCCTGCACCTTCCAGTCTAGGAAGCAGCTTCCTGGGGCTCCTCCGCTGGTCAGAAATTTGCCCAGGATACAGAAGTTATTTAAAACAGGGGTTTCCCAACCTGTTTACTGGCAAACTGAGGACCGGAAGGGACCACGGACCAAACCACAGAATGGAAGTGGCTGCGGACCGGCAAACTGTGGACCAGCAGTGACCAGCATACTGAGTATAAAAAAAAGGGTTGGCTGCCAGTTTGCAGTATACTGGTCAATTCTGGACTTCCAGTCCGGCAGCCAACCCCTTGCAGCGCAGTACTGGGCTGCGGCCCAGGAATTAGGAACCCCTGATTTAAAGTGCTGTAGGTTGCTAAAGTGCTTTGAAATACAGTGCTTCAAATGTAATACGTCATTTAGCAAGGGTTAATTTAACATGCTGTACCCATTTTAAAGTGCTGTAAAGCCATGCACTTCTGTTAAGTCATAGCAATAAAGTGCTTTAAATGGCAAAAAAGCAACTTCTGTACATAGAGCTCTTTCTATGTGCACCTAGGCTAAGAAACTAGAGTGTATGCCTCTTATTTCACTGGTGCTCTGAACCCCTGCAAGGACTCTTTTTGGAGTCTGTTTTAGGCATGTGCTACCCTCTAGCTTCACAGGTGTCTATGAAGGAATAATGTAAAATCTAATTGCCCTTTAGCTAAATTCCAAGGCAGCAAATCTCTTCCAGAATCAGGCTTGGAAGAGTCTATAGACACTTAGCCATCCACAACTCAGATGATCAGACTACCTCTGTAGTTGGCCTCTGATCCTGAGACCATCCCAATGGTGGCAATGTGGGACCAACAGTAAAACAAGTAGGTTCACCATAACAGACATGCCCCTTACTTGCAGACAACGGCACAAACAAACTATCATGGTAAGCACCACAGAAATGATATGCAGGCAAGTTTGAATCTTTAAATGATCTCACTTCAAATAGTGTTTTGCCCATTTCATGTTAGCTTTCCACAGTTATTCTGGCAAGTGAGTGTGCTAGCAGAAGTGTTTGCATACCACTGGAAAGCAAATATTGAATTCACAATTGCAAAGATTCTCACTAGAAACCTGATTCGAAATGTTATAGCTACCCAATATTGTGCAACTCGTGTATCCCATCAAGTGTCTTGAATATTTACAGAGAATAGCTCTTTAAAGAGCTACCTAGAATTTCTTATATTTGGGGAAAAATCATGAATAATAAATTTCAGAAAAACTTTGTGAGCACGTCATGAGAAGAAGAGGCACAATTCATCACACACAGATGTTACTAACATACATTATTCACCAGCACTAAATTATGTTTCTAAAGCATGAGAGTAACAATTTGTTTTCCTGTATAAGATTTAGCTAAACCTCTGGAGTTTTTAATCTGTTTTCCCAACAAAGTTTACTCAGAAACATTGGCTCTTTGCTGACTGTCAAGAGACCTCAAGTCTCTTTGTGTAAATTGAAAACGGCTCCCATGCTTGCTTGTGCTTTTATTATGGGAATCACACTAAATGTGATAATTTTTGTAAAGTCTGTTTGCTGTTGCATTGACTTCTAATTGTGCTTCCTCATCAGCAGCAGAATTTGAACGAGAAATGTCAATGTAATTTTGATTGTAGGCACCAAACAGGGGCTTTCCCTGAAAGCCTCAGGAAAAGATGCATCTTGCAATAGCTTAGCTTTTTGCCACTGTAGTTTTTCCATATCTCTTAGTAAAAGTAACATCTGAAGACTCCTTCCTCTCAACAAGTGGTCTTCCCTCAAAAATGTGGAATAACTGAATATTTTTCTGGAGAAATGTATATCAAATCATATTTTGAAGTACAAATTCTTCCCTCATTTCAACCATGTGCATAGCTGTTGTTGGGCTAAAGTCCACATTGGTGGAAGCTGGTAAAATTGCATTAGGCATCACACCGAGGAAAAGCCAGCATATTCTGTGGGATGAACAGTTTGAATTTTGTCCAATTCAGCAAACATCCCTGACATTGGTAACACATAGGGGGTGCACACAGGTGCTTGCCACCCCTGTCCCACACCACCAACATCACCGCGGGAGCTCCCCGCTCAACCCACCTCTGCCACCGACACCACCGCTGCCTGCAGGCAGTCGCCATGCCCCCCCAGTCTCCGGGGGCACGTGTCATGCATGATCCCTGAAGTGCTCTGAATGTTGTGGTTCATACATCCATCTCCAGTGTATATTACATTAACATATTTTAAGACCAGAACATTATACTATCGGAGTCAACTGAAAATGAATGATGTGAACAGAACTCAACAACAAATAATTACACAAAGAAAACTCTAATAAAATTGCCCATCACTCGATCTGGGTAAGGCAACGGGCCATTTCTTTGAAATGATGTAATTCACTTCCAGTTCAGTGTCTGTTACACATTCTTTTCTGGTAGCTTATAAATTTACGAGTTTCCTACTTCTTCTTGCTAAGGGAGCAAGGGCCAATTTTTTTGGTCAAGTGTCAAAATCCTTCCCCTGGCCTTTTTAGGGTCAACTAGATGTAGAAATCAAAGGGAAGTAGAAAGTTTTTAGCAGATAGGTTCCCTCTTTAGTTCTCCCTTTCCTATCAGAGGTGTGGGAAGTAGGCCTTGCACTAGTTTGAAAAGAGTGCACAGGTTTTTTTTTGTCCTTGTTTGTCTTGCATTTATTTTTAACAAGGAATGAGTAGGTTTCTGGGTTTTGCTTGCTTAGGTGCTTTGAGTTTCAGCTCAGTCTGTCTCCTGGATTTGGGGATTGGGGTCTGGAGTGTGTTTGTTCTGATTCAGAGCAAAATTACAATGTGTTTGCTCTGAGCCTACTTTGTTCTTTTGTTGATTGCTATGGTGCCACTGCTCAAACCTGAGGAAGGAACAAACAGAAGGAGAAGTTACAAAAGCCATATTCTATTACTCGATTTCTGTTTGCTGAAGAACATGGCAGTGTTTCAATAAGGCTTTGCAGGAATTCAAAAGAATTATTGATCTTTACAAGATCTCTTTTGAAAGGACACTGGCAAGTAGCTTAGGCCTAAATTTGGATTTACCCTGGCAGCATATGAATAAGGTGCTACGTTCTAGAAATTGGGAGCGCGAGGGAATCTAGTCCAGATTCAGGATTCTCAGGGCCAGCTTAAGCACTAAAATACCTTAAAGCTCCTAAAAGGTAGCTTCAAATGGTGGCTCTAGTTTAGGGGTGCTGTGGACTCTAATGTGGTATAGGGCTGCAACTATGGAGCACACTTTCCCCACATTTCTGGGCCCCATCCTCACTAGGAAGGTGAGGTGCTGGCTATGGCACAGATATGCTAACCAGGGGGTCACTTTCAGCTGCTAAACATTATGCCCAGGAGATAAGCAAAGAGGCTGTAACTTAAATTATGAATATGGCCTAATGGTCTGTAATTTGTGTCTGGAAAAAAATACACTTCAGGGTTGAGAAGTTATAAACAAGCAAATACCCACTGTTTGTACAGTACCTGCAATATTTGTTGTAGCCAACACAAGAAACATATGTCAACTTCCCAGTTGTGTTTCTGTAACTCCCATTACAGCAATGTGAGTTATTTAGGCTCATCAGAAGAATATGTTCCTACCACCTTTCTGACTGTGTTTTCAAACAACATTTGGGAATGATACATGTTGAAGTATGACATTGGTACCATCTGCTCATCATCACAAATATAAATGAAGTGATAATGAAGATGATGTTTCAAGGAGCTATAAAGATGATTGCACTCTAATGACATAATTTGTATCCTC